CACATAAAATATTTGAAATCAAATCAAACAAAACTTTAGTTTAAYGTAACCTCGTTGAATTTAAATAAATTGTAAACATTTCTGAACTTTTGGAGACAAGTCAGCTGAACATCCAACAGAACCTGTTGTTTCTGCAGAGCTGGTGTCTGTGGTAGTAGCTGAGAGTCATCACCTGACCCGGTGAGACAGGAGTCAGCTCCTCCAGAGGAGGAGGAGGAGGAGTTCACCTGATTAAAACTCTGCAGCGGTTTTATTCAGGATTTAAAACCCACGAAGAAGAAGAAGAAGAATAAAATTATAAATACAAGAAGAAGAAGAAGAAGAAGCGGTGGAGATAAGAGGAAGGTGAATGTGGATTTGGTTCCTGTCAGGTGTTGGACCAGAACTCACCGAACCGACCGGACCGGTTTCGGGACAGACAGCTGGAGGAAGTGGTAGCAGAGAGGAAGAGGAGCAGCAGGAGGAGAGAAGAAGAAGAAGAAGAAGAAGGAGGAGGAGGAGGAGGAGTCTGTTTGTTGACATCGGGACGAAGCCGAAGATCAGATGAGTGCGGACCTCCGGTAACACTTGGTTCTGTCCCCGCCATCCAGACCCGCAGCCCGGGCCGACAGCTCAGGTAAGGTCCCGGCGGCAGCGCCGCACGGTCGGACCGCGGCTGAGCCGGCAGCCGGACCGATCCCGCAGAGCTCCGCTAGCCTTCCTGCTAGCATCACAGCAGGGGAAAGTCACAGCTAGCATCGAGCTAATTTAGACTTAAAACAAGCTTCAGACTGAAATAAAGTTTAACTTTTAATAACAAACGTTGCTCCTGTCAGTGTTAGCTCGTGTTGGTCGTTCAGGGTGAAAGTTTGAGTTTGTCAGCAGCTTTAAAGCTTTAATGTTGAATTATTTCTCACAGCTGATAGCTCGTTAGCTCGCTAACTTGTCATCGGTCTGTTGGTCTGAACCCGGTTCTGAGTTCTGACCCAGAAACAGGACGAGCCTGGACACAGGACCTCCTCAGACTGTGCATCAGTCSTGTTAGAGAGAGAAATGTTTTTATGATAAATGAGTTGTTTTAGATTAAAGTTAAAACAGAGTCAGTCTGAAGCTGCAGGGAGTACAGTTTATTTATTCTGTAAAAATGTTTCAACTACTTCCTGTGTTTTTATAGGATTTGTTTCGGATAATTTACTGACTTAATCACTTAAATAGTGTGATTTCTGTCTTTAAAACAACAAAAAATAAATAAAATACATCAGCTGAATAAAATAAATCTGTTCTAAAATATAAAAAATGCAGAACAATAACTAAAAGAACTAAATGATGAAGCAAGAGGCTTTTTAAAAGTAGCTGAATGCTAGTTYAAAGCTACATAAAGCAAAAATAATTTGTAAAAACTAAATAAAGCAAATATTAGTTAAAGCATAAATGTTGCAAATGGCAGCTAGAAGCTAAAAGTAGCTAAAGGACATTATAAAATTAGCAATGGGCTAGCTAAAAGGAAGAAGTAGTCACCTCAAAGCTAAAAGTAGCAAAATGACAGCTAAAAGTTGCTTAAATCAGTCAATAGCTAGAAGAAGCTAAAGTTTTTTTGCTGATTGTTCTGTTTGTTTTTTTAATTTAAATTCTAATCAGAGGAAACATCTCCGTACCGTTGACGTGTCTGCTGGAGGTTAACGTTTCTTTGTGTGGACACGTGTCCCCTCAGGTCCCCTGCCCGGCCCGGCCCGGCCCGTCTCATCAGAACTGAAGCAGGGCCAACATGGCAGCCAAAGCAGGAGACGACCCGGACAGCCTCATGTCTCTGACCACCATCTTCTGCCTGAGGAACCTGAGGAAGACCATGTGCTACCAGGGCTCCAGGAGCCGGCTCTGTCTGCGCTCAGACATCTTCCTCCCCAGCGAGATCTGCGACAAGCTGGTTAACACGTACGTACCGGACCGGACCGGTTCTGTCCTGCTGGGACAGGTTCGTCCATCAGAACAGTTCCTCACGGTTTGTCTCTGTGAGCAGGTACATGGAGCTGGTCCACGCAGACAGTCACTTTGAACCAGAGGAGAGCTTCTTCCAGCTGTTCTCAGATCCTCGCAGCACCAGGCTCACCAGAGTCCAGCTCAGAGAGGACTTTGTCCGGGACCGAGACCTGGAGGCCATACGCAAACAGGTGGGGTTCTGTTAGCGGATCTGCTTTTCCTTCGTCTAAAGAAAACAACAGAAAACCGCTCTGATTGTGTGAATGCTGAGTCAGCATTCAGTTAGTTGCTGAGTCGGCGTTCAGTTATTTGCTGAGTCAGCGATCAGTTATTTGCTGAATCAGCATTCAGTTATTTGCTGAGTCAGCATTCAGTTATTTGCTGTGTCAGCATTCAGTTACTTGCTGAGTCAGCCTTCATTTATTTACTGAGTCAGCCTTCATTTATTTGCTGAGTCAGCCTTCATTTATTTGCTGAGTCAGCATTAAGTTAATTGCTGAGTCAGCATTCAGTTATTTGCTGAGTCAGCATTAAGTTAATTGCTGAGTCAGCATTCAGTTAATTGCTGAGTCAGCGTTCAGTTATTTGCCGAGTCAGTGTTCAGTTATTTGCCGAGTCAGCGTTCAGTTATTTGCTAAGTCAGCGTTCAGTTATTTGCTGAGTCAGCATTCAGTTATTTGCTGAGTCAGCATTCAGTTATTTGCTGAGTCAGCATTCAGTTATTTACTGAGTCAGCATTCAGTTAATTGCTGAGTCAGCGTTCAGTTAATTGCTGAGTCAGCGTTCAGTTAATTGCTGAGTCAGCGTTCAGTTAATTGCTGAGTCAGCGTTCAGTTAATTGCTGAGTCAGCATTAAGTTAATTGCTGAGTCAGCATTCAGTTAACTGTCGAGTCAGCTTTCAGTTAATTGTCAGCATTCAATTGCTGAGTCAGCGTCCAGTTATTTGCTGAGTCAGCGTCCAGTTATTTGCTGAGTCAGCATCCAGTTATTTGCTGAGTCAGCATCAGCATTCAGTTATTTGCTGAGTCAGCGTTCAGTTATTTGCTGAGTCAGCATTCAGTTATTTGCTGAGTCAGCATTCAGTTATTTGCTGAGTCAGCATCAGTATTCAGTTATTTGCTGAGTCAGCGTTCAGTTATTTGCTGAGTCAACTTTCAGTTATTTGCTGAGTCAGCATCCAGTTATTTGCTGAGTCAGCATCCAATTATTTGCTGAGTCAGCATCAGCATCCAGTTATTTGCTGAGTCAGCATCAGCATCCAGTTATTTGCTGAGTCAGCATCAGCATTCAGTTATTTGCTGAGTCAGCGTTCAGTTATTTGCTGAGTCAGCATTCAGTTATTTGCTGAGTCAGCATCCAGTTATTTGCTGAGTCAGCATCCAGTTATTTGCTGAGTCAGCGTTCAGTTAATTGCTGAGTCAGCGTTTACAGCATTGTCCCCATGTAATTTATTCTGGACATTTTTTCTGCTGCTTGTTGTGATTTATCCTTTGGCTCATTCAGGCAACAGCTGCTGAGACTTTTCAACTTTTGTTTTTAAAAAAATATTTAACTTTGCTTAAAATAAAAAAATCTCCATAGAAAAATATGTCCAGCTTCTGCTGTGCTGGTTTTAGCTGTAGCAGCTCAGTTACAGCTCCTTCAGCTGATTTTATGAGTCCTGGTGCCCTGGTTGGGGTCAGTGATGTGACAGAACAYGTGGTGAAACATCTTCCAGCCTGTTCGCTGGTGAATTTCTTCTTCTATGGTTTTTAATAAAACACTTCCTGTCCTTCCAGGACCTGATCGAGCTCAGCCTCACCTACTGCAACAGCCTGTCGTCTCGCAGCTTGAAGACCCTCGCCTGTTTCCGTGAGACGCTGGTGTCCCTGTGTCTCTTCGGCTGCAAGCAGATCTTYTTTAAGAAGAGCAGCGCTCCGCTGGCGTGTAACGAGGACTCAGAGGACGAGGACGAGGACAGTCCTGTGTCCCGGAAGGAGTTGGAGACAGACTTTAGCTTCCAGGGCTTTAACCGCCTTCGGCTGCTGAACCTGGGGGGTCTGCCCAAAGAAATGGACGTGGAGACCCTGCTCAGACCCCTCAGGTCCATCACGTCCCTGGACCTGTCCAGTGTCCACCTGCTGGGGACGTCTTTTCTCAGCCAGTGGAAGGACAGGCTGGCCTCTCTGGTCCTCTACAACGTGGAGCTGTCAGAGGAGCTGCTCAGCACCGTGCTGGAGCTGGTCAACCTCAGGTGAGCTGGTCAACCTCAGGTGAGAGGTTCGGCTTTAGTTAAAGGATCCAGGATTAGTTGTAACACTAGACTTTATTTAATAAACATTTATTTTAACTGTAAAATAAAGACTGTAAAAATACTGTAGGC